TTGAATAATCAAAAGATAAAAAAAAGTGATAATTTGACGTGATTATTTGAAAATGAAGAATCTACAGAACAGATTATTTGGTTCGATACTATGTACAATCAACTGTACAACACATTAAAAAATAAAAAAGAAAGTATAAAATGCATTTTGTAAATGCATTTTTAATCGCAAAACTTGTCTTTATTCATATCTTTTTGCTTTTTTTTCGTGAATAAACGATATTACTAAGTAATTAATTATCTTTTTTAATTCTTTTTTTTTGGTTTATGCATTAAGTAGCATCATTCCATGACGCAAGTATATAACGGAAGATACATAATCCTCGTGGGTATTCTGAATTCTTAATTTTCTGTCAAATTATTCATTTTACAGAGGTTTGCTCGATATAAGGTAGCCGGAAGAGGATAAAGAGAGCAGATATTATATTGTTATATATTAATTAACACGAGTAATAAGAATATAAATATATCCTTATGATAAATATATTTAAATTCATAATAACAATATTAAACTTTTTAATTTTCAAAAAATAGTTTCAGAAAGTTACCTAAATAAAAAATAATTATTATAAATAATAATATTTATTCGCTACAGATTTTTTCAACACTTTGTTTTATCTCTTCTAGAAATAAATATTTAGTTACAAAAAATAATTATAATTAACTCTTAACACAAATAAAATTATTTTTTTTTAGTTTATAAATCACATCCTCATACAAGAAAATTAAATTCAAAATATTTGATAGATTCGAAAAAAAGTGCGAAAATATAATTTAAATTAATTATATTTTTCCATTGTTCTGTTTTCATGTTAAATAATATAACTGTAATAATAAATAATATAATCTGTTTCATATTAAAAAATATAATAACACGTTTCACCATATTTTTTTTAAATAATACAAGAGTTTAAAAATAAATTTCTATTCTCAAGACAGCATCATTATCCATATGTTGTTTGCTTAATGGGGCCTAATGAAATTTCTCAATTAAAGCACTGCTAATTATTTCGAATATTAGAGAGAAAGTTACGTATTGTGATTTTAAACTCGGGAAGGAGATTCGCCGAGTAATTACGCAATTGGCTTCTCTGAAATAACATGCACCGAGATCGACCAGCTCTCACGGAGTGCAATGCGGGACGCACCCTTCGCAGAATCGGGCTATGAAGTAGGGACTGGCGGAAGAAACTAGGCGAAGCGCCGAAATCTGTTGGGAACCGCGGAAGCCGCAGCGCGGAGTTTGAGCGCTCCTTAACAAGGAATCTCAACTACTCATTACGCAAAAGCGTTTCTACATCCAACACTCTTGCGCCGACGGGATACCCATGGGGCATTCGCCAGACATTTCAGCCGATTACGAAACCCCGTGCACTCCGGGAACAATGGATAATACCTTTCGCGCGACACCGCAGCGACAACTTACTTCGTCCTTAAATTGACGATACGGGGATAGCTGCGGCAAATACTAACTTCTCGAATCTTAAAGTTCGGGAGAACTCGTTTCATCTACATTCAACTATATTGATATTAAAATGTAACGTTAATAACGAATAAACGATTGCCGATATATTAAGCTCATTAATTCCAAAACTGTTTATTAATTTATTAATAAAATTTTAAGCAAGAGAGATATTTTATCAAAATAATATATTAAAAATTAATTATTCACCCACTATCCATATTACTGGTTTCCATTAGTCGCAATTAATAACTAATCAAATTTCTTTTCAATTTATCGGAATTATTTTAACGTGAGTAGCTACGGGCTATGTATACATTTCGCTAAATAATAAAAAAAACCGATGTATAGTTTTGTGTATACATATCGCGTTATTGTGTCTATCGATAATTGCATAGGTTGGAAAGAACTCAAGAATGCGCGGAGCGTGTATGTACATTGCATGCGGTTATACAAATTTCATTATCCGATTTCTGGTATTTAAAAAAATACCAATTCGCCGACGTGCCGATAAACCGTGTACAAATCAAACGTGCGCTTGTCCCGCTTGTTGGCTATATGAAGTCAGTATTTGGTAATTCAAATAGTCGATGAATATTTATTAAATTATGTTTACGTGAATTTTTGTTCTGTTTTCATCCGTGTACGTATAAAAATCGCGTGGAACCAGGTGCATATGCCATGTTTGTGTATTCGTCGCTTTCGATCTGTCCGTTTATTTTCGTTGATATTATAGTCCGCAAAAGTCTACACGAACAAATATTAAAATAACTCATAAATGTTTAATCGAGTTGTTGATTATTTCAACCGGA